TTAAGCCGGAAAAGAAACCTCTTAGAATAAAACCTAATAAGGGCAAAAAACACGAAAGGAACGCACCAGAGAGGTACTTGGAAGGGCTTTGTTGAATTAACATATATTCTTGTTAAATATTAAGCACATTATAAATTAATCACAGGAAAGCAAAAGTTGCAAAAGCTTTGATTGAAATGCCACAAACTATCGAAACTTGGCGATTGGTAATTACTATTAATTTATGAATCATCCATTGTTTATATTAAGTAGTTATTAACTTATATTTGTTATTATTTAAGGAGAAACAAAAAGAAAAAGAAAAGAGCAAATCTTCATTGCCGTTTTAATTGTTCATTAAGGCCATTATTAATGTCTTCAATTATTATATTTACAAATACAACTTAATCAATTCGTCACTCACGCCCGAAGGTGTTAACACACCCAGATCTGTACATAACAAAGTAATGTAATCTGGTGGTGTGTAATCAACAGTTGGATTAATTGCCTGTCAAAAATTGATAGGTAATATATTAATTTCTGATGTTTTTCATGGAGATCACTACGCATTTCGAAAAATATGATAGACCAAGTATTACCTCATAATCACCTATATTTATATCCTCATCTTTGACCGTTTGTTTATCGTCAACCTGTGGGCGATGTTCCAAATCTGGAAAAGCAAGTAAATCAGGCGTATGGGTTGGGAGATCGTACTGATTCAAAGGGAATAGACGAACAAATTTATAACTAGACAAAGAATAAGACCATCAAGTTAATCATCCTCAAGTGATCTTCACATTCGCGAAAACATTCACCAATTGCTCCTACCTTTCGATGACAGCATAAAATGGCTTATTAGCAGCTTTAGCAACAATAGCCAGCTGATAAGTGCCGATCTAAATTTTGAAAACATTAGAGCAGATATTGATACATCCTTCGAATTTCTTTGACATCTTACCGCATTGATCAATCCACCATTTTCAACGACACCCTCGGACCCAACGAAAACAGCATCCACTTTATTAATAATATAACCAACCGCTGCGTCATAAATCACGGTTGCTGGAACTCCAGCCTTTCGTAATAGTTTTGTAGCCCTGATCCTAAGGAACAAGAAATTGGAAAAAGAATTAATGTTTTGGATTGAATTTAGACATTTAGATATCATTTCTTACCCCAAATATGTAGGTCTAGATTCCGTAACATAGACCTTAAATCGCTTCTTGTAAGCGGCCGCCCTTAGGAGGAGCAGCATAACCACACGCGAATAAGAATGAATTAATATTATCTAAATACACCATTAAATTCAGATCACGTTATAGCGTTAATCAATTAATCATGTGCTGAAGATTGATACGTGCTGCATCGTCTTTTATGAACTGTACGCCTAATTCGGCAATTTTTTCGCGGGCGGCCGCCGCCTTTTCAACAATTTCTTTTCCACTGTTTATCAAATGTTCTTTACATGCTTCAAAATTCTAAGTTAATAAATCCAAATCATAAGCACGTGATTTCAATATACACACATAATATAATAGTTACTCACCGTGACATCATGAGAAGCTCTTGTGACAAACCTCAGAAACAAATCAGCTCCTGCTGACAAAGAAATTGAATTTCTGACAGAATTCTTAAGTTTTTGACTAGCTTCTTTCAGAGATTCCATGAATTCCGATAATGTGTTTGCTGAGAAGATTATATACATTTAATAATTTACTCACTGATCAGAATTAGTCGTTTGAACTTGACTTACCTTTACTATGTTTTATCAACTCAATCAAAGATTCTATGGCAGCGATAGGCATAGACACATCCTAATACAATATTTAGAAGACAGATTTCATCGATCAATATCATCCATAAAATTGGGTGATGTTATTTTAAAACCTACCGGATCATCTTTCAAAAATTGCTGATAGCACGTGACAATGTCAAATTGTTCAGAGGTCTCTGTAATAACTACATATTTGACAAAAAAGGGACGATTATTATTTATCTCCTCGAATTATCTATGTAGGTTTTACCTTCACTTGAATCCGTCATAATTAAGTGTCGAAACACAAAAATAAGATGTCATCAATGGTGATTATTTATATTGAAATCTGGTGCCGGAAAATGCCGGCTCATATTTAATTGGACAGTTTATTGCAAAAAAACTTGTATATAAATCATCTCAATATGAATAAAACTACGACACATAAAAATGACCTCTGAACTTAAAGAAACCACATTTGACATAACGAAGTTTTTAGATACGCTTGACTTCGCAGCAAAAAAGCATAGTCGCCAGAAACGTAAAGATGTTGAAGGAACACGTAGGTTCTAATTTATATTTTGCTTTCATAAACTGATTTATATAAAATAATTCCGAATTCATCTTTCAGCATATATAAACCATCCAATTGGCGTTGCAAAGAACCTAACAGACGCCGGTGTATTTGATTTCGCTACAATTCAGGCCGCTATATTGGTAAATATTCGCCAAAGAACTCTGCAAGGTTACAAGGACTCTCAACATACTAATTATCTTTGTAATATTAAGCATGATACTGTTGAAGATACCGACACTACATTTGAAGAAGTATGATTTAGATTATCTTTTTTGTTAACTTGCGTTGTCTAAAGGTTTTTACATTATTTGGTGTCTATCAAGATAGAAGAACTGTTTGGAGAAGAAGTTAGAAACATTGTAGAAGAAGTCACCGACGATAAAACATTGCCAAAGTCGGAGAGAAAGAGGCTACAAGTTGTTACTACTCCACACAAGTCAAAAAAAGTAAATCGATCGATTTATTTT